ACCACCCCTCCCCTTAAATGTTATAAAGTTTTAGAACTGGATCTAACTGACAGAAAAAGTTTTATTGTGCCAATGCATTTATTTTCACTGGCAGCATTGGCTTATGACATTTTATATGTGAGAACTGTCTGTTGGAGTCATCTGAGTCTGTATTATCTTTGACAAAAATAGCAGTGTTTATGGGGTATTTTGGAGATGTAAACCACTGTATAAGATTTATTAGTTTAACCTCCACACAACTGTAAAATAAACTTGCAAAATAATGACCTCATGTCACAGTAGAACATGAGAAGAAATGGGAAAACAGATGTTGAGAATGCTGCTGAGTTTATGTATGTTCTTCCTATTGTAGTTAAAGCTTTTGAAATGGAGATTATACCTGCTAACAAAATTGTTGCACAGATTGGAGATACACTCATACTCACATGCAATACTACTGGCTGTGCATCACCACGTTTTTCCTGGAGAACCCAGATGGACAATCCCCTTGGAGGAACAGTGAACAACCATAGAACATACTCTACACTGACTATGAATCCAGTTAGCATTGTGAATTCTCATGATTATCTGTGTACTGTCTTCTGTGGTGAGAAAGAGAAAAAAGAGAAGAGTATCAAAGTTGAACTTTACTGTAAGTAAAAACATGAAATTCTCATTAAGCAGTACACATTTGTAAAAAAACAATAATTGTTTTTAGATATCGGGGTTGGTAGTTCACTGATAATGCTAGGATAATGAGTATGCTATAGCTCAACATATATTTCCTTGTAAGATTCCTTTATCTGTCTATTTGGGACTCTTTCTTAGCCCCTTTCTGCTTAGCTTTCTGCACTGAAGGTGGTACCTACTGGTCTTATTTTTGCTAATACTTGAAAGCCAAAACATAGACTCCCCAAAAGATTCATAGAACTGGGAAAAAACCAAAAAACAATAACAAATGTGGCTGAAATGGATGTATTTGGGAAACCTGCAAGTGCAAAGCACCTGATCTTAGCCTTTGCAGTTTGCAAGTGAATGATTCAGATGTCTAAACCTACCAGCACGGAAAACAGGATACCCCAGTGTGGATTGCTCTGGATGCATATATTTAGGCAGCTGTATCACTGCCTAGGTGCCTTGCTGGATCTTATTAGTTCATTTGTGATCATACTTCAACAATTGTACAAATATAATTCCTGTTATTGTATAAACTGCTTATAAAATACCTGTATGTCTTCATATCAAGATATGTCTTGTAATATAATTGACATAACATCATGTTCTGAATGCCTCTAAACTCAAGATATTTGAAGTCTGGACCTTGATCTTATATTGACCCTAGAGCTCATCTCTGCTAGACTAAAGAAATTTATTTTATTCTTTTAGCTTTCCCCAGTGATCCTATCATTGAGATCAGCCCATCCTTAGTTGCTGGAGAACCAGTGACTGTCATTTGTAAAATTCCTGATGTGTATACTTCTTATTACCTGGAAGTACTCCTAAAGAAAGAGGAGCATGTTCTTCATGAGAAAATTTTTTATGAACATGACAGCACAGAGACGAAAACAGTGACATATTCATTTAATCCCATGGCTGAAGACATGGGGAAAGAGATTACCTGTCTGGCAAAGTTATTTGCTAGTGAGGACTTTGAACCCACAGAAAGAGTAACTGCTCAGAAACTGAATGCAAACTGTAAGTATTTTTATTCTAGGGCTTTCACACCAAGTACTGTTTAATATTAAGTTTCATGGAGTGGGTTTACAAAGTGTGTGCTACAGGTCATTTTGAATAACGTGCAAAAAGTGCAAATCTGCACTTTTTATCTATTTTATTTTTATAGAAAATCTGTTGTATTCAGTTGAAATCTGTTGTATTCTGTAGCAGTCACTGAGTCATTAAATACCCACTGTTGTTCATTACAGAGGTTAGGCAATGCTTTAGTAACTCCTCTCTCACTCTCTTACCTTGGGCACTGGTGCTCAGTCAGAAATTAAAGACCAGAAGAAAAATGGCAGCATGCAGATAAACAATTGTTTTTAAAATTGCCATTGTATGCTTAGCAGTTTCAAGTTTATAGTCCTAAGCAATAGGGAAACAAATGTAAAAAAAAAAATTGAAATTGTACACTTTCTCATTTAGCTTTCAAAGCTGCAAGCTAAATGCCTTATCAAGTCTGTAAAAATTGTTCCACTGTGTTACTGGAATACACATTATTCATTTTTTCTTGGTATTTTGTGAAATGTGCTTCTACAGAAGCTAGTGTTAAAGATGTGCATGTCATTCTTCATTAACTTACTGACCTCATCTCTTGTTCTCTTCCAGTTGGTCCACAAAATACTATCATTACTGCTTCTCCAGGCAACTCGCCAATGGAAGGAGACTCTCTAAAACTCACTTGTGTGACTGAGAGTAATCCACCACCACAAATAGTTTGGAGAAAACATCTGGCTGATGAAAGCATTCACCATCTGATAGAAAACAATGTCCTTTCTATTCCCCATGCCCATTTCACTGATTCAGGACTGTACATCTGTGAAGTAATTAATCTGGCAACTAATAAAACAGAGAAGGCAACTGTGGACATTGTTATACAAGGTACAAGTCTGCTTGAATTTCACTTGTATTATCCAATACTCAATTGGCAGCTGCCTGTTGGGTTGTAGGATGCTGAAACACTGAAAATTAGGAAGTTACGAGGCCTTCTTTGTTATGTATTCAAGATTTAGCTTTCCATTTACAGCTGCTCTTCATGGGTTGTGCTTTTCATTTCTATGCTTAATTTACAGCTAATTCTCTCTGTAGTGCTGTTGTAAATGCATACCTATATACATTTCCTGCAATGCAACACTCAAAGTGAAAAAAGAATCTGAGGAAGTGGTGGTGTGAGGTCCACTGTTATTCCCTTGAAATGCTAATGTACGTAGCAATTTCTCAGGGACATCACATTCTCCTTCTTTGAACTAGTAGTTTTAGTCATGAGTAGTAAATTTAGCAGTCATTTAATAGTAAAACTATTTGGGACATTATTATTGTTATCATCATTATTACTCTCGTTATTATTACTGTTTCAATAGAGCCAAAAGTCTCAGATGGAGCCTGAGACCAAAATCAAAATGAACAGATCCTTGGGCGAGCAAGGATCCTGTTTTCTTAAAACCCTCTCCATCTGTAAGCACTTATACTAAGCATTTGCATTAGTATAACAGCCTTTTATTTTGTCATGCAGGTGCTCCAAACATTGCAGAACTCTCCATTGAGCCTTCTACCACAGTTCAAGAAGGAGAAAATGTTTCCATACAATGTTCTGCTGAGAGTAACCCTCCTCCCAAGATTATCTTAAGGAGAAAATCTGACAGTGCAGACATGGGACCTTACAGCGAGGGGAGAATTCTCCATCTTCCATCTGTGACATTCCTAAGTGGTGGAGACTATGAATGTGTAGCAGAAAATAAGTTCGGGAGAAGTAAAAGTGAAATAACACTTAATGTGGAATGTGAGTATGTGTAATGTTTTCCCAATCATGTAAAAATAATTAGTTAATTCTCCACCTTACTTCACTGATACATGTAACATCAAACTAAACAAAACCCCGTGAGTACAAAAAAATCATCATAGTCCTCTGCTCTTCCTCAAAGTAAGGAACACTGCTGATGAACAAAACAAAGACATTAAATCTTTAATCTAATGACAGTCTTAAGTCAGGATCTGAATGAGCGAGAAACTGATCTACCTTCTTAACATTATTGGCTACAAGTATTTGGTTAGTATGTTTAGGCTATAGAGAGTTTGTATGGAAAGTGTGATACTGTGTGCTTTCCTTATTCTGAGAATGAAAAAGAAATTAATTTTGGGAAGCCAACAACCTGGCATCCAGTAGGACATGTTGGATCCATCTCTAAAAAATCCAATTATTATTGACCACAGGATTCTTCCTTTCAGATGGACCAAAGAATACAATGATCTCTGTTGTCCCTGCTACTGCCGTTAAAGAAGGAGAAACTGTGACGATGAAATGTACTAGTTCTGGTAATCCAGCTCCACTGATCTCTTGGAAGAAAAAGAAGGCCACTGGGGAGTCTGAGAAAATTTTTGAAGATGCAACTTTAGTTATACACAACATAAAAAGTCAAGATATGGGGCTTTATGAATGTGAAGCTTATAACCAATTTGGCAAAGAAGAGAAAGCTGTGAAATTACTTGTTCAAGGTTAGTAAAACGAAACAGAACAAAAGTTTTTTGTTTTACATATTTTAAATCCAGATCTCATTCTGTGAAGGACGGGGGAATTCTATCTTTGATGTCAGTGGAGTTAAAAGATGGACTTAATATCATTAAGTAATTCAGGAAGCTTTAAACAATGAAGGGTGAAATTTGCCTTAGTACAGATAGCTTATGCAATGTTCTCACGTGAGTTGAGCTTCCATCACTCCTTCCAATTGGCAAATGGATGCATGAGGCAAAGAAGCTATGCAGTGCCAATATTTTCTTCCAAATAGGTCTCACTAGAAGGTCCAGATGTACATGCTGAAACTTCTCTGTGGAGAGACTGTATTACAGCCCCTTGGCTCTCCTTTAAGTTACAACTCTGTATCCTGTTCTCGCAAGCTGCATTTAAGCTATACCAAATGCTGATTCTTCAACCTACATGCAATGATAGCAGTGTTTCATTTTCAGTAGTAAGCAAACTTCTCTGCTTTAGCCCTACTGCTTCTGTTTATTGCATGGCAACAGTGTATTGCTTAGGGATCACTTCTGCCACTAATCCATCTCTCTTCCTTATTCTTTACTGTTTTTGTAGCTGCATCAAAAATGTACTTTAAGTTTTTCCTTCAAGTGCAGTGATACAAGGAGAAAGTGTTACCATCTCTTGCTCATCTGCGGATGTTACATCTGTTCAGAGTACTCTGTGAAAGAAAATAGGTGATGAGATCACAACCCTTGAAACAGTAGATGGCAAATATACAGTAGACAGGTCTCAGCTAAAAGGATGCAGGAATATATGAATGCATATCATTAATGAACTGGGAGAGCAGTCTCAGCACATAGTACTTTATGTCAAAGGTTAATTAAAATAACTGCTGTCCAGACTTAATATTAGGATTTGGATTAGACAGACAGAATGATATCTTCAATTCCATTAAGAATGAATTGTCTTTTAAAAAAATGAGATGAGTTGCACAGGTTCTTGTCATAAGTGGTAGGATCTTAGTGCTAATGAAAACTTCTGTCCAAAACAGCACAGATGCACAAAATAATTGCTGCTTCAAAATTTTTCATAGTTCCACTTCCAGCTTTGAAAACAGGATGTAAAATTGTGGAACCTAGTGAAAAAAATACTGTTCTAGGACTCCTTCCTTTGCCTTTACCCAGAGGACGTCAACCTCTGGGTCTGTTGATCTGTGTCCTTTCATGAACTCAAATGAATAAAAAGTGAATTTGAAATAAGAAGAAAAGGCTCCATATAATTTAAAAGATATGCAACATACTTGGTCAAGTGATAAAATTTTCTTTCTGTCAGCTGCTGTTGACTGCAGTGTGTGAAGGATAGCTAGTGCTCAAATAGTATAGTGAATCCATTAACTGGATTAGTACTTTGTGTCTACAAGCTACTGATACCTCATGAGTTTTTTGCTTCTGTTTGTTGCTAAATCCTACCTTGCATTTCTTTTCTTTTCAGTTCCTCCTCAAAATATTACTGTGTTAGTACATCCATCAGAAAATGTTAAAGAAGGAGAAAATGTCACTATTACATGTAGCACATACAGTAACCCACCATCACAGATGGTCTTGAAAAAAGTCCATCAGGAGAAAGAAATTATTCTGCCATCAGTGAATGGAACCTTTATACTCTACAATGTCACCAAAAATGATACAGGCAGATATTTGCTTGATGTTTTCAATGAGGCTGGAAACAACATCAAAGTGATTGACATAGCTGTTGTAGGTAGGTAGATCTATTGCCTTGAACTTACTTTGCTCATGCTTTCTAATGAATTTTGTGTCAAGGACTTTCTAATGAATTTTGTGTCAAGGTGAGCACAACTAGTTCATGGCTGATACTTGCTCAACAATACTGCAGTTAACCTAAAAAAACCCCAAACAAATCCAAAATCAAACCAAATAATAGAACAGCTGGGGAGAATAAGCTGTATTTAACCTCCTTTTGGTGTGGATGTTGTTATCTCTCTTACCTGAGTTGGTACAGTAGCTTTAAGTACAGAGCCAGAAAAAGGTGGACCCTGGCCACATTTCTGTCCACATGCATGAACAGTGAGACTAATCCAGGGAAAATTCTGTTTCATAAAAATATATAAAGAATGGGCTTTTTAAACATAGTCTTCTCCTGAAGTGTTGTTTCCAGGAGGTAGAAATGTCCCCAAATGTTTCCTGAGAAAAATACATTATATTCTTCTTGCATTCTTCATGAACTCCATGGTATTCTTCGTTGTAGATTATATCAGGTAGGTTTGAACTTCCACAGCAAATTCAAGACCAACATAGTGGCTAGGAAATAAAGTGTGCAATGTGGAGTTCCTAAAGAAAAAAGCATAAGGAAAACATTTTAAAATATGCTTTGTACATGAAAGCAGAAATAGTGTTCCAAATGATTAACACTGCTTTTACAGTACTTTTTACACAACTTTTTTCTCATTCTGTCTCCATTTTCAGGAAGATTGGAAAAAACAGATCAGATGATACCACTGATTATTGCATTCTCCTCTGTAACAGCAGTAGCGGTACCTGTAGTTGCAATTTTGATCTACGTGTCAAGAAAAGCAAAGATAAATGGATCCTACAGTCTTGTAAAAGCACTGAGGCTGAAAGTGTGATTGCATGAATATAAGTCTAAGTTTATAATAAGCAATGATATTTATTGTTGTGACTGGTTCTACTCTTCTGTAACATACGGTAACAAACAAGTGACTTGAGAACACCACCATGTGATAGCAAACGGATTTTTTTCATGTTTTGCTAAGTATTTCAGTATTTAAATTAAAGGGAAAGCTAACATCCTGTCCTGGAAACTGGTAAATCACTTCTGTGTTGAGGCATGCTGAACAGAGTTCCTTGGAGAACCACATTTGTACATAGTGTATAATTTGTGTTCTAAATATGTTCAACTGAGTATCAGTTTGTAAAACTGCGGTCTTACTGCAGCTGTATAGGTAAATGCTTTAATTCAAAGATATAAAATCAGCGTTACGTGAGCTGATCAGATGATATTTTATTTTGTATTACTCTACAGAGTGAACGTTTTTAATATAATTTGTCTGCTTGTGATAATGTTTGGAAAATGTTCTCTTTTCCCTTGTATTGCTATAAACTGTACTTTCAATGAAGTTACACAATCACTGGGCTATGCATTTCTAATTAATTTAAATTAATTTAAGATCTCAAAGCTCATTTGTGAAACATTTTAGTATTCAGAAAGTGTCTGGGATTATAGTCTAGTTAGTTTTAGGACAGCTGAGGTATTTTTGTAGTTTCTAGTCATTCTCAAATCAATATCAGAATTCTGTTATTTTGTGATGAGCCAGATCAGACCTTCATTTAGAATAAAAGCTGCTGATAAATATGCTTTACAGATTTCCACTGCAAAACTACTAGTAGGTTTCTTTGACTAGATTCCCCCTAGTGATTCTTGCTTAAGATTATGTCAGAATACACTTTCCTATGGAAGAAACCAGTGAAAACTATTACCCGTGGCAACAACAGATTCAAGTATCATGGTAAGCCCTAACTGTAAAGACACAAGCAAGGCAGGCAGCGACCTAAAGGCAGAGGCAAGGGGGAGATGCAAAATCTATGCAGCCTCAGCAATGTTGCCTGAGTCTTTTCCTGAATAAATGTCTTTCCCAAGCTGCTCACTGTGGAAAACTAAAGCACTTGCCTGAAAACTTTCCTTTTAATAGACAACTGGTGCCTACGTGCTTCACCTTGGTTAGTGCCTTTTTTTCACTGTGTGGTCTCTCCAGAGTTGGCAAAACGGCTGTGAAAATAGTGGGCTTTCTGTGTAGAGGCAAAGATGAGAAGTGGAGTTTGATGGTATACTCCGTTACATCCCTTCTCCTGGCTGGCAGTGCTGTTTTGACTCATCTGGTTGGTGATGTTCACACTGAAGGCACAGTTGTGGGAAGTACAGGCACTATGACTGAGATGTTGAAGTGCGTCTAGTCTCAGCAGCCTGAGCCACTGTCTTAGGCACAGAAAGATGGGCTTGACTCCCCCAAACTTGCACACACAAGGTCAAGCACAAAAACAAACAGAGACATATGAAAAGAGTTTCTTTACATTATAAAAATGGCAACAACTGCCCCCAACAGAAATACAAACGCAGATGTCTCTGGGTAGCTAGCTGTGGGATGAGGCAGTGGTGCAGATCTCCCATATCTTTTTCATAGCATGTTCAGTAGTGTTTTGTGCACAGTAAATCAGTACGTGCAAGGTCCTGTGTTTATCTACAGTTGGAAAGGGAGGCTTAGAAAGTGGGGGTGTAGCAGAAAAATAGGAGAGCAGTGTGGACTTGGCTTGGAGGAATGTGAGCATGCAGTAGGAGGGTGAAGAAAAGATTGAAGACAGATGAGGAGGAGAGCTTTGACAGGCCCATGACATCAATTTCTTGGAGGTGGTGCCAGGAAGATTTATTGAGAATAATGTCAGGGCTGTCTTAGCGCTGTCTTGTGAACAAACCAGAAAGCATGATTTTTCCACTGTGCAAAACTTTGGTGCACACACATTTTGCCTACTGGGTATAGTTCTGGTATCTATATCGCAAGAAGGATAGTTAGAAAAGATACAGAGAAGGAGGACTGGAAAACAGGAAAAATGAAAATGACTGGGACTTTCAAGTTTGGAGAGAGGATTCTGAAGGAGGAGGGGATGTGACTGATGTTTTCCAAATTGTGAAGGCAGTTGATAGCAAACAACAGATGCAAAACTGCTGTTTGCTAAATCATGTGATGCCAGAACTGCAGGGCATGCAAACTAAGGAGAGAGTGGTTTAATGAAAATTATAGAAAGTACTTCTTTACACAGGGAATAGTCAGCTACTGGAAGCTGCTACAGAAGGTTGTGAAGGTTAACGGTATCAATGGGCTCAATAGGAGAATGGAAAAAATAATAGACTAAAGGTCCATAAACAAATACTAAAGGGAATAGGCTGAAATGTGTGTATAACATCCCAAGTCCAGTGGCCATTGATGCTGAGCAATCCTCAGGGAATATACTGCAGAAAGAGACCAGGCTTGCATGCTTGCCTGAAATAGTGTCTCCCACTGCTGGAGACATACTGGGGTAGCTGGATGACTGGTGAGACCCAGTAAGGTATGTCTTGCCTTCTTATGCCTTCTCTAAGTGGTCCTGGGCTAGCCCTACTTGGAGAAGGGGCTTAGCAGTTCCTGTGCTGTTTCTCCCTCTCCCGTAGCCCCTTAGAGGGAATAAAAACAGGAAAGTTGAGTGGGAGAGAAGTAGGAGTCATCTTGCAAACAGTTCTTTGGTGCTTGTGTAGTCTTTCCTGGAAGTTCCTCCACGGGTTCCCAGTATCCTCTCTGCTGTTCATTTCAGCAGTATTTGTGATTCAGATACAGGCCTTAATGTCTGTATGGCTTCTCTGCCCTCTCAGAGTGCCTGTTAAGTCATTTAATTCAATAGGAGTTGGCCTGTGATTTCAACAGGGCTAGTTTTTCACCTAGAAACACTAAGTGAATAGAGTGAGTTTGCAGTGCTCATTTTAGGAGAGGCTGCTCTTGTGTGAGCAGCCAACTTCCTCCCAGTGAAATCATGAAGAAGGACCTTGCCAGGGGATCTCCTCCCCTGCTGCCTGATTCTCGGGGTTTTCCAGGACACTTAATGATTTGGGCAGAAGCTTGTCCCATGGAGGTTAAAAGTTCACAGTCAAATAACTTCTCTTTTTATTGAAAATTACAGAAGGAATATTATTTCTCCTTGCACTGTTTCTCATCAAACCAAATGTAGAGCCTCTGCCCTGGCAAAAAGGCATGAACAGCAGCTCCAGCCCAGCAAGCTCTTTCAGGAGGGGTTGGAGCCGCCGGGAGGTCTAGGTAAGAGTCCCTGCCACAGGGCCTGTCTTTGTGACAAGGAAGTGGTCTGTAGAGCAAAGGGCTGTGACAGGGCCCCTCAGGTTGTCTCTACAAAGTCACCTCACAGGCTTTAGAGTTACGTTTTCCCCTGCCCGGGCCTGTGCTCAGGCACGCCAGTTGCCCTTGGGTGCTCAGAGCAGGGCTTTATCCCAGCAATACCACGGGGCAATGGTAAATGCTAATGCTAAAATGAGCCTGGGTTTGCCAAGGCGATTGCAAAATCTCGCTCCCACAGCTAGTTCAGGATGTGATCTTCCTTAAAATGTAAAGCTGAAACAGAAGAAGACGTGTTTTTTAAACTTCTCCAAGAATATTTTCTTCCTATTTTGTAGGTATACTGAAGGGAACAATTAATATATCCTGTGACAGAGGTGCCATTTATCTTCTGGAGGTAACACTGGAGGCCCTGTGCTTGCAAGGGCAGGCTCGCCCCGGTTTCCAGGACTAGCAGGGCCTGAGCATGATGTTGAAGGCCAAGGGATGATTTGGTGTCTCTGGCTGCGGCAGGCCATTCAGCTTCATCGACTTGCTGCTGTGCTGGATCCAGGTAACTTCCACGAGCAGAGCGTGTCCCCCTGTGTAAGGAATCTGATTTTAACTGTGAATTCCTCACAAATGGAGAATATACCATTGTCCTTGGTAATTAGCCGTGCCCTTTCTGTTGTGTATACATGGTCTACTTCCTCGTCCAATTTGTCTGACCTTTGACACCTTCCTCCCCACAAGTTAATTGCATACTGTAATCAAGCTGTTTCTTACTTCTTTGATAAACTAGACAGATGGAGCTGTTGTAAACCTGCCTTTCTCTGTAAGGTATTTTCTACAGTGGTAAATAATCTTTGTGGTCTTTTCTAAATCCCCTCCAGCACTTCAACATAGCCTTTAACATGTGGCAAAAGATCTGTGTATGATCCTTCAGTGCTGTTTCTGCTAGTGCCAGAGGTGATTTTGCTTCTTGACTCCTCCTCTGTGCCGCTCTGCTTCCATAAACAGCCTTTTTAACCTTTGCTATTTTTTGTCAGTGTATCACTGCAGGGAATAAAGAAAATATCTGTTCCTTACACCCATTACAGTGTCTCAGTCCTTTGTAGGATACAGTCCCTCAGAGCTGTTCTTAGTACATTTTTTTGAAACAGAAAGCTGTGTGATACAAAGTCAAATGCCTCTTGAGTCCAAATACCTGAAATCTAGTTTGTCTGATAATGCCTACATTCCATAAAACCATCCTGGCTGGCACTAATTATGTTTTCTATCCTTTAATCCCTGTATCAGCCTTTCCCATTATTTAAAATTTTGTTGTACCAACCAGTCTGAATTTTACCCAGACCATTCAGCTTACCAGTCAAAAACTGACAGTGTTTTTGACACTCCTCTATATTCAGTTTGAAGGCCACTTCACATTAAAAAAATAAATGAGAGAAGCAGTTATGTTGGGGGAACTACCTTTCTTGTTCTGTTGTCTGTTTTGTGGCTCAACAGTCTTTAAGCCTCACAATCTTTTAGGGTCCACTTGCTATATATGCTGCCACCAAAGTGATGCAAGTTATGCTAACAGAAATATGAAAATGCTTGTAAAAAGAGTGGTGTGCTTTGCTGGTAGCTACCAGACATCCTAGTAGTTTAAATGTATTGTTCCAAGTACCTGGGTAGCCACCAGTTATCAAAGCAGCGAATCTCCTGTCTGCCCCTCTGCCCTTCCCAGCTGATGAGTCTTTCTGTTGCTGTTGAAGTACACAGAAGGGACAAATGTATGTCTGTGAGATACAGGGGTGTGAAGTTCCTCTTACTTACTGTGTTCTTGGTTCCTCTTGGTGATTCTGCTATGTTTAATGT